TTATTTAAAAAATATAATAAATTTTAATTATTAAAAATAAAATAATAAATAATTAAAATTTTATGTAAATATAATACATAGAATTTGTATAAAAATAAGTAAATATCTTTTTTAAAAAATATTATTTTTCTAAAAAGGATAAAACAGAGAAATGATAGAAAAAATCCAAAGACAGCATTTCGCCCTTTTTTCAGTTTGAAATTCAATAACAGATACTGTTTTTGGATTGTAGTAGTTCCCAACTTCAAATATTACCCGTCCATTTCATATCCTGGACCAATCCTCACCGTACACGTGTACAGACCCAAGAGTCCCACCCTCCCTCGTACTCCATTACCGCCAAATTCATCTCCCTCTACTTCCTCCAACTCAAAACCTAAACCAATCTTAATCCAACGGTCCCGAATCCCCCATCTCTCTCTTACCAAATCTCATCCGTCCATCACCTTTTCAAGTCTATCCGTCCGATCTCTTTCCAATCAAATCAGGCCGTTGATTTTTCTCAAGAATTCAATTTCGAAGAAGCAAAGAGGGAGTGAAGGACTAAGCTGCTGTTTTAGGTCGTGAAATCGAGATAGTTTCTCAATTCCCGGCGACAGGGCGTTGCTTTCCGTTTTCCCGGCAAGATTCCGGCTAAGTTTTGAGCTTTTGGATGTGAAAAGACAGAGACTTTTGGCTTTTTTTTTTTTTTGTTGATGATGGATTTTGAGATTCCATTTTTGAGTTTGTATCGAGATTGATTAATGGAGAATGGTGAAATTGTTTCTGATTCTGGGCCCAAGAAATTGGCGAGGCAATTGGATTTCACGACATGTCGCGCCTCGGAGAATGCTAGACTGCCGGTGCAGCTTCATTCGCCACCGCAGCAGTCGTCGCCACCGGAATCACAGCAGCGAGTACAGAGTCAAGGGCAATGCCAAACGCAGGTGTCGTCTCAGTCAAAGCAACAGCCGGAGTCACCATTACAGCAGCACAATGTGCAGTCGCCATCAAATCTGCCGGCAAGATCACACTTGCAGGCAATGCACCAATTGTTAGCGCGGCATAATCAAGCTCCCCTATCACATCGGACGCCGCATCCAGTGCAAAAGCTTCCTCCGCCGACGTTTCAATTGGGGTAAGTCTATTACCATTAAAGCTGAGATTTTTCTTGGTAAGTTCAAACTTTTATTGTCCCTGGAATTTATTGTAATTCCTTTGCTATTTTAAGCATTTTTGGGTGTTTAATTTGTAAGTCCTCCTTCTATTTCCAAATTTATTGCTTTCATTTTGTCCGTACTTGACATTTAGAAATTCCCTCACTTTGTTTTCACTGGTTATGAATCTTAGAATTTGATTATTAAGAGTCTTTTTTGCTATTTTTGCTCTAATAATAATTTTGTTTATTTTATGGTTTATTTTTACTTCTATCTGAAAATAAACCCTGTTTGTTTATGTTTCTTCAGCAAGCAAGAGTCCCCTCGGTCAAGACTGCATTCTGGCATTGATGCAAAAGATGGTACACCAAAGAAACAAAAGCAATGCAATTGCAAGAATTCTAGGTGCTTGAAGCTGTAAGAAAACTCACCCCCTCAAATATTTGCTTTAAGGAGTGGAGAATTATCGTTACATGTTTCTTTCTTTTCTAAGAAAAAAGAATTACACTCATTGCCAATCTGTAAGTTCCACCCCTCTAATTCTCGTCAACTCTAACTAGAGGAGATAATTCCGTCATCAATGTGTCTGGACGGTGTACTTCTGGAATATGGAGATTTTGGTTATTTATTATAACTTACGTGCATTTTCACATTGCCTAAACTGGAGCCTTAGAAACCCTTTGATGTTTGTTTGCCTTATGTCTGCAGTTCATAATATTTTTCCTGCTTTTGTTTAATCAATAAGAAATGTGTTTTATTTTATTTTCTGTTTTATAACCATTAGGTACTGTGAGTGCTTTGCTGCTGGAATTTATTGCGATGGTTGCAACTGCATAAATTGTCATAACAATAGCGAGAAAGAAGAGCATAGACAAGAGGCAATTAGTTTGACATTGGACCGCAATCCAAATGCATTCAGACCTAAGATTGGTAGCAGTCCGCATGGACCTCAGGATGCCAAGGTTTGTTATCTGGAACCTGTAGATTATCAAATCATAAAATTAGTAAGCATTAGCAATGAGATAGTTTCCAGATTTAAACTTTTATTTATATAGAATACCAATTTGAAGGATAATGTTAAACCAAGCTTGAGAATGCAAGTATGGATTTCTTTTGATCAGAATATACTCTGTATCAGTAAATTAAAGCATTGCTATTCTTGTAAAAATATCTCAAAATAATACAGGATAATGCAAGTGAACTTCAGATGGTGGGAAAGCACAATAAAGGATGTCACTGCAAGAAATCAGGGTGTCTCAAGAAGTACTGTGAATGCTTCCAAGCTGAGGTTTTCTGCTCTGAAAATTGTAAATGCATGGACTGCAAAAACTTTGAAGGGAGTGAAGAAAGAAGAGCTTCCTCACAGGGGTACCATAATTCCTTGATTTACATGCAACAGGCTGCAAATGCAGCTATTAATGGTGCCATAGGGTTGTCTGGATTTGGGACTGTGTTGGCATCCAAGAAGAGAAAAGGTGATGAAATCTTATCTGGTCAAGCTGTGCAAGATCAGTCTGTTCCCAAGATGGCACAACATGAACTGGTAATACTTTTTTTGAATTCTCCAATCTAATCAGTACCACCAATTTGATATTGATTTTGATCCTTTTTTATCCTGCATAATTATCTGGAATCATTTTAAAACCACTTATGTTTTGAGGTAGAGGTGCAGGGCTTTCTGGTATTCTAGTGATAATTAGATGAAATTATGTTGTGCCTAGTTATCCAATGGGGGCAATGACCATTGAGATTCTGAGATATTCTCCACTGTCTCACCCCTATCCCTTTTTCTGACTTTCCTCCTATGTCTTCACCCAAGGCAAACTGAAAAATAACTTTTCTCATTAATTTCAACAGGAAAATCCTTCTAGAAATTCTCCTGCTGCCTCTTCTGTCTTATCAGCCTCTGTTTCTTGCACTCCTAATGCACCAGTATTGAGATCTTTAAAACCCACATTAAGGTAATTTCCTCTGCCTGCAGTTAATGTAACTTTCTTTAGAATTTTTACCTTTTAGTTGGAAACTAATTTGTCAGTATTTATGGTAGATCTCCATTAGCTAATGTCCTCAAACCACAAGATGTGAAGGAGCTATGCTCAGTTTTGGTCGTACTTTCATCAGAAGTTGCAAAGACACTTCCAGGTATTAATTAACATATGTGAATGTTGAACTTCTGATTATTGTTTTAGATAATAGCAGATAGCTCTCCACTATCCCAAATGCCTTTCCAGTCTCTACCTGTCCCAATTTTTGAAGTTAAGATCTTCAGCTTGGAAGTCTATGCTCAAACTGTTGACCTGTAGGGCTGTCCCCAAGCCCAAGAGGGTAACTTTTGGTTATTGTTTTCATTTCAGTTTTAATTTTAACTTTTTAACTCATTATTTGGCTAAAATTCTATATGTTCCTAGGACTTATTTTTCTTTATTGCTTTTAACATTGAACAATGAAAGAGGAAACTTGCTGGTACAAACTTCCCATTCATATTTAGCAATAAGAAGACTTAATATTTCCATTACTTCAAGTATTTTTGTTTTATCAATAATCTTTTTGGCTGTGATAGGTATGATAGGTAATGAAATTGCACCAAACCGATTACTCTTCTTCTTGTAACAGAGTAATATGGAATCGTAATAATTCTTGTTAGGTTTTCAAATAAAGGATAAATGAATCATTATATAAAATCATTGTGATAACTACAAGAGGTTATGAGAACAGATATTCAACATGTGTATCGTGTCCAAGAATTATTTTATTGCACTGAATCCACCTTTGCTTGAAGGTGAAACAACTTAGTAATACTTCTTGTCATGCGGAGAAAGTCATATAATTGAAAACTTTTCAGGAAAAAATAGTGAAAGGGATCTGGAAAGAGAGAGTTACAATGTTGAAACTGCTGTTTCATGCATTCCAGCAAGTGAAACAAGTGAGAAAGGAAGTGATTTAATAGCTGCTGATAATGATCTCAGTCAGAACCAAGCTAATGTTGATGGTTATCATAACTCTGGATCAAATGAGACTAACGTGCAAAATCGAAGGCCTTTGTCTCCTGGCACACGTGCCTTGATGTGTGAAGAAGAAGATGCGATGTTTTTGGCAGCTCCATCACAAACTGCATTGCCAAGCCATTGTCAAAACACAAGTAAGAAGTCATTGAATGAGCATGAGCGCACGGAGGTCTATGCAGAGCAGGAAAGGCTTGTCTTGACAAGTTTGCGGGACTTGCTTAACCGTCTCATAACCTGTGGGATGATAAAACGTCAGTATCTTAACTTTAACTTCCAAATTTTGACTGTTTCTTTAAGTCAAATGCAAAACAAAGGTTTCTTGCTTTCTTAGAGTGCTTTCAGCTATTGCTCACTGATATCCATAAGATTTCCCTTGGAATCTTGTAGAGCACCAAAAAGGCTGACTAGTGCTGGTTTAAATTTAAAATTGAATTGAAGAAAAACATTGGAATGGTTGAACCATATTGGATTTGTTTGCAGTGAGTATTCTTACATTTCTTTTATTCACTGTAGTTAAAAAAAAATTATTTTCCTCATCCCTTGTGCAGAAACAACGTGTTCTTCACCAGACAAAAGGAGCCAACAAGAACCTGTTGAAAATCCGGCTATACAATCTGAAAACCAAACAGGATGCCACAAGGAGCCTCATCACAATGGCATTGTGAGATCTTTGAATCCAGCAAACAGTAGAAATGTCTAAGACTGCAGTCTCTTCACCTTCAACAAACAACATGGCTTTAAAGATGGGATTACCTGCTGGCAATGTAAAGATAAACACAGATTGAGGACTCAAACACACAACGAAAATAGTTCGAAGCATCCACATGCCATCACATTGTTCATATTTGTTATTTATGCTCAAGATTTGGCCCTGGATCCTATTATTCAGAGATGCATTTTGAAGATTCAAGGACCTTTCTTCTTACAACATGCTAAATTGCTAATTTATACATATTTATAGAAATTTTCGTGCTTTCTTTGCTCATGTCTTTAGATTTCAACATGAACACAAAGTTATTTATGCCAATTCTGTAGAGTGAGTGGAATCTGCATAACTCCATGGGAGTTTCGACGACGCGTCCTTAATTGGCTCTCGCAATTGCTTCTTTCCATTTTCGTTCACCTCACTCTTGATTCAGACAATTAAGGGTTTTGTCAATTTTCCTTAATTGGCACTACAGTCAGTCTTTCATTTTTCTTCCTGGAATTTTCTCAGCAGCCAAACATATGGACTACTCAAAGTGTGCATGTTTCACATTGTCCTTCATGATTAGGTATAAACTCTCTTTTTATTTTTATTTTTTTCTTAAATTTCGAAAGAGCGGAGACTGAAAATGGGAAAAAGGTCTCCAACTCGGAAAAAAAAAAAAAGAAAAAGAAACGACGGAAATTTAGGAAAAAAATTTTGATTTGGGACTAATGTGGTGTGTTATGTTATTAAATTAATTGATGTATATAATATTATATATTTAAAAAAAAGAATTAATTATTAAATAATATCAAATTTATTTTTTAATATTTTAAATGAAAAATTAATGTATATCAATTTTCACCCTTAAAAATAATTGAAATTTTAATTTATATTTAAAAATTGAAATCTTATCCTATTAAATATTAATATGAAAATTTATTATATATTTTAATATATTAATATTTAATAAAATAATTTTTTAATTTTAAATTAAATTTTAATAAAATAAAATAACATAATATAAAACTAAGATTCCAATTATTTTTAAAATTCAAAACTAATACATACTTTTCCTTTAAATAAAATAAAAAAAAAAAGTACTTGTCAACCTTGTCTCTTAAAAATTAAGAAAAAAATCATTTTAAAATTACGTCATTTTAATAAATTTTTATTAAAAAAACCAAACTACTTTATTTTTAAAACATGTATTAAGATAATTTTTATTTTTTTTCTTTCTTAATTTTTAAAAATAAGACGAACAAGTACTAGTTCTATAAAATAATTTATACTATTATTATTCATTTTAAATTTTAGTCTTAAAGTTTCACCTCGCTTATCACTATTAAAAAAAAATCGTTGGGCTTGTCTCTCTCTTCCCCGTCAGTAGACAGACACGTGTGCCGAGTCCCACACGTCAGACCGCACCCGCCAAAAGTCATGTCCCATAAATATGGATTTTGGAGAAAAAGTTTCGTGGTTGTAGACAAGCTAAGATCTCAGTTCCTTGAATTCTAGCAGAGCAGACGATCTGCAGAAGGTGAATCTTCATCAATGAAATCCGTAGGATTCTGAATTTTTAATGTCTGATTATACATGTTATATTCATTAATTTGGGAATTTTGAGTTTTACAGTTGGTGTGAATTGAAACACATTGTGAGAAAGATGCATTCTGTGGGAGATAAAAATCGTTGATACACACATGAAGAATCCATAGATAGCATGTGACAACAAGAATTGTTGATACATAAAACAATTTGAATTGTCATTTTTAGAATGTTATCACAATAGCGGGCAAGCGCACAAATAATCATATTTTAGAACGCACACTTTAAGAATTAAGACATTCTCAACAACTTTACCACTCTTCATCCTTTCTTTGGCATGGCGGCAAGTCTGGTGTACATTCTTGCCATAGATTGGTACCCTCTGAGATCACCTGAGCGTAAAAGATTTCCTGTCCATAGATGGCAGAGGTTTGTTAGGGAAAAATGTCATGCTGCATAAGCAGCTTAAAGTTCCATGAATTTCAAGATTTTCAATTTCTACACAGCTAAATAGTGCAACTCTGTCAAAGTTTAAAGAAATGGCCATCTGTACTATTTTTTGATAATTTACTTCATAGAAGAACACCTTCAATTCTACCACTTTAACAGGGTACTAGGAAGAAGGTTTGAGGCTGAATCTGCTAGGGAAGGAGATATTTTAGCCAGAGGGAAGGAAAACGTACCCTGTGCCCATGCCCCCATTTCCTGCCTCTTATCTAAATTTAATTGCCTATCAGTTCTTTGGAAGCCCAACGAGAAGAGTTGTAAGGAGAATTGTCTTACAAATCATATCTCAGGTGAAGGGTGCAAGAAGATCAGATGGTGTACCGTGCATTTCTGTTCTAGGGCTAATACAAACAAGATATGGAAAATGTACTCACTTACTAGTTTATCAAGGAATCTGGAAGTAGATATTGGCTGGACCAACTGGGAAGGGGATGCTTTAGCCAAAGGGAAGGCAAATAGCACATGCCCCTATACAAGTGCTAGACCCTCATAGGGAATTTGGAGCCATGGTTAACAAGCACATTTTTTGACAGTGTAGCAAATAAATGCCCATCCAAAATCAGAGATGGGAACATTCACATGTTTCTTCTTTCATGTGTGATCACTTTAAAATGGTAAAAAAGAGGAACTTACCAGAATCACAATTCAGTGGGCTATCAGGTTCTGGGTGAGCCATCAAAGCAATTATGGCTCTACAAACAGACTGTAGTGTCCAAGCAGGGCTCCAAGCATTCTTCAAGATATCGAGACAAATCTCCCCTGTCTGGAAGAGAAATAGATAGGCTCAATTAAGCATCTTGCAACATATTACTCCAAAAAAAAATTTTGACCATAAGAAGGATGTAAAAACAAATGGACAAATAGAATTAGAATTGGAGATTTAATGAATGAAACTCAAAGACCAGTATTCCTATAACAAAAACACAAAGAAATGGAGAAAATTAAAAGAAAATATAACTAAATGCAAACTGCATTGTGTTCAATTCCTCCCTGAATTTATCAAAATCAAACAAAACCTTGAGAAATTAAAGGCTTGGCCCAGTCAGGTGGAAATAAAAAACTGTCTTAGTAAAGCAGATATTTCCTCTACAGAAAGGTCATGTCCAAAAGAATTATCACAAATCTAACCCAAATTCCTGCATGTTTTTTTTTTTTTCCCCTTGTCAAGTTCCATATTAAAGCAGAGGAAAAGTGAACGCATCACACTGAAGGAGTTTTACCTTAAAATGCACATTTGGATGAAATATTTTTGTCAAGAATCGTACTTGAGGAGGTTGCAAGGGATATTGCTCAGGAACAGAAAAGGCAAGCTGGAAGACTCCACCCTCATAAGGAGTCTCAGATGGCCCCTATATAAAAAGTTAGATAACTCAAGCAGCGATTTCCAAATACCATCATTCTCCAATCAAGTTGAGGTTGAGCCTACCTTGATGAGAGCAGTCCACTTAAATATGTTGGAATCATCACATGCTAACTGAATATCTGGATCAGCTACTTTTTCTCTTTGCACCTCCTTGTATTCCTTAAACAACCTTGCCCTTGATGCCTGCACAAATCCACAGTGCATGGCTTACAGTTACTGGTGAACATTCTCCCATATACGGCAAAAGTTCAAATCATACAAGATATGTTGAACAATGGAACTCTTCAAGGATATGGAGGGATTACGTATCAAGAATATCAAGTTAGGGCAAGAAAACATCAAACAGTGAAACTTGTTCTAGCATATAATCCTAGCACTCAATTATCCAAGACAATTTTGTTTCAGCCAAAAAATTCCTAAATTTTAGGAAAATCACAAGTTAATCAATAAAAAATACAAATATCAAAAACAAAAACGACAAACTACAATTATTGTGTGAATAACAGCTGACCTGCATTTTCTACTGCTTCTCGGAATCTCGATATATTTCACAGATTGTATATCACCTCTACACAAAAACTGAAACATTAAAAGAAACAGACAAACAATGTTTATCATCTCCATGTTAAATCTAAAGGATCAGAAGCAAAACGATCGAATAAACAAGACTCGAAACTACATTTTACAGCAATCCTCATAAAAATTACACAAATATTTGAGTCAAAGTAAATATGGAGCAGTATCAAATTTCTAGAATCCGCTAGAATATGAACGAAAATTCGGAAAACATGATTCCGAAACTTGGCATGGTATTTTCTCGCTATCCAAACGGATTATGAGCAGTTTTATAGCAGATCGAAAGATAAAAATATGTGAATTGCCGGAATCAGAGTCTAACCTCGTGCAGTCGCCGGAGACGAGAGGAAGGAAGCTTTCAATTTCGGTCGTCTTCCATTCTTCCTCTTCGATCAAAGAGTCTGAAACGTGGCCAAAACCTACTTCTGCCCCTCACCTTACCAAATTTAAAGGTTTTAGCCCCCTATATAACACTATTAACCCCTTATCTTATTATATTTGTAAGTTTTAACCTCTTATTTATTAAAATCAGAGAAAATAATCCTCACTTTACACTATTAATTTTGTTAGTTGCAAGTAAATATTTGTTAATTAATAATTAACTAATAATCAATTAATAAAATGAATGAAATATATATATAATTAATTCTATTAATCCTGTTAGTTAAAAAAAAGTTATTATTAGTTAATAGTTAATTAACAATCAATTAATAAAATTAACAATTAGTTAACAAAACTAACAAAATATTACAAAATAAAAATTATTTTTTTTAATTTTAATAAGTAAAAAATTAAAAATATTATAATATAAAATGATATATTAAAACTTATAAATTTAATAATGTGAAAGATTAAAAATATTATAATATAAAATAATTAGCAAAAACCTTTATATTTGATAAGGTGAAAACATAAAAATAGGTTTTTGCCTTGACTGTCCCGTCATTTCCTTGAGTTCGAAACGGGCCAAGCGACCAGCCCAGACTAGTTTCCCGGCCCGATAAGAGAGCTCTCACAGGCCGGCCCATGATAACTCACAGGCCGGCCCATGGTAACTCTTAAGACTTCGACGGCATAAGAATAAGAATAAAACGCACCAAGGATGATCTTAGACACGCAACCAAACGTACTAGTACAAAATATGATGCATCTTCTCTTCAGATAATAAACCCTAGAAATAGAAAATGCTTAAACCCTCTTCTATTTAATTTTCTCTGAATTTGCAGTAACTCAGTGGGATATTATTAATGGCTGGTTCAACGATTTTCTCAAGATTATTGTCTTCAACTCGACTACCCGCTCTTACAGTAAAGCGAACCAGCAAATCAGTCTTACCCACAATCTCCCCACTCAAATCGACCTCCTCTTCTCAAGTTTCATCTTCAATGAAGCGCATTTCTGGGATCTCAAGGTGACATCTTTAATCTTGTTTGCTTGGGATGTGTTAGGAAAAGTGCAAATTTTGGGTGCATGTATTGATTTTTTGTTTTTTTGATTTTTGAGGAATTTAAGGTTTCTGTTCTTATGATTGCTTGTTGAGATAACCAGGGAAAATTTGTTCTAAGTTATGATAGAAATCAGCTGCACTTCCTTATCTTGTTTCTGTGGGATTCCTGATAGACTTCTTCTGGGAAAGTAGATTAACACTGAACAGGGTTTATGTATTTGTTCTTTGTTACAGCTGATTTCTGTAAGATAACAGAAAAGAGTGAAGAAATCCTCACATCCTTTTTATTTTGGAGCATTTAGGTTACCAGTGGAGCTGAGCTGTTTAATCTCTATGATGCCATTGCACAGCGCGGTAGCTTCGGCTCGCCTAAGATCATTTCTCTCCATCGAATCTCAGAGCTGGAGTTTGATCCCACAAGGTCTGTCTTTCTATTTCTCTCCCAAGCTATAATACAGAGATCATGTTAAGTTTAAAAGGAACTGGTCTTTAATGGTTAAATGGAGTTTTGGTCAATTCGGTATGATACCTATGGTGATCTTGTAGAGTCCCACTAAATCAAATTCATGGTCTTTGGTCTGTCTTTTCTGCTAAGCAGGAAAAATCCCACATCGAACAAATATCAAAGAGATGTGAGTTAAATACATGGCTATTCCCCTATTGCCAATTCCTAATTGTTTTTAGATTGGATACAAGGATTGTGTTGAAGCCCACATGCCAATTTTCACATCTTCTTTAATAATTGTTGTTCTTTATCAATACAGTTGGAAGGTTAATTAGAAATACTTGTTTGTTCAATCTTGCTCTTGTGGGATTCCTTCAACCAAATGAAGCATTGGTAGGGATAAGACTCTTTAGGAGACTGGATTCTTTTTCCCCTCATTCATAATCAATATGAATCATTTCCCTCTATTCAATGGAAAGTGGAAATTATGCTCGCTACGAAGTCTGATAGGAAGTGATAATTGAAGTAACAACAAGGGCAACGCAAGTAATACAAAAAGCGCTCATAATTTTTTTTTTATTTTTTTTATTTTCAGAAAATTCTTCCAGTTCTCGTTCTCTTGAAACTTGGAATGAGTTGATTAGACATCATAATTCTTCTTGTTATCATTGTTGCAGGTAAGTCCTTACCTTTATGACAATCCTTAGAATGAAGGTTGTCAACGGCATGATATTCTTTGCAATGAAGTGTATTTTTATCTTGAACTTCAGTCCAGAAGGAGAAGTTTTCTGCTTTTCTCTTATGATGCAATCAATACTTTAAAGTGCTGGCTTCCAGAAGCCACAAAATCATCCATTGGTAACAAGAAGACATTATTACCTTTTTGTTGAGCTACTTTGAAATTTGAATCCCATTGGTTGCTAAATAACATTTTGACCGACGGATTCTTGTAAGTTTTCATTCTCTTCATCATTTATTACTCAGAAGCATGGTATTCATCAAACATATACAGAATGCACGCACATGGATCTGAATTTCAAATTGAAAAATCTTGGACCCACTCTGTATTACCAAATTCATATCTAGTTTAGTTGAAAGTTGGGATGATATTTAATTTTTGAAACCCTGCCCTGGTGTTTGAAAATGAATAGAAATCTCTAATTGATTGATACCTCCCTCCCATCTTGACAAGGTGATGGGTGGTATCGTTCTTCTCTAGAAGAACCCTAAAACGGGAACCATCAATAGACTTGTTTGGATTGATATTAAGACTGTAATTTAGCTTACACCAGAATTAAAACCAAAAATTCGTGAAGTTAGCAAAATTGAGCAGCAAACATAGTTTTCTTTAAATATAGTACTGAAGTGATGGCCGAGAAAAAAATAAATGCAACTGCATAACCGCAATAAACTAATGTAAAAGATGCCCCTAAAAATGTCTTAACTGGTGCAAGCTTGAGAATCTAAGTTGAATGCCTCAATTTTGAGCTTTAATAATGAAAATGAGAAATGGTAAGCAATCCTCACAGTCTGCCTTGTAAGCAGTATTGCAAGTCTAATGAAAATGAAAATCAATTAATGTGAATTATATATCAAATTTTGATTTTTTTTTTTTTTCCAAAGCCTTCCTAGTAACTGAAAAATGTCAAATCCCATAAACAATGAGCAATCCAAAGCAATTGATCTTCCGATTTTCTCTACATTGAATATACATGATTCCAATGCCAAAAGACATGAAGCACAACTATGAGGCTAACTAGACTGGCAAAGAAGAATATATATATATATATATATATATATATATATATAATATAATATAATATAAAAAATTAGAAAATGAAAAATGAAAGATAAGAAAATGAGTTAGCAAACAAAAAAAATATAAAACAAAAAATAAAATAAAATCCGAAAACCAAAGTGCAGTTTCACATACTACCAGCTCTTCCAGAAGTGGGTTTTCCAGGCTTGAATTTTGCAATATCAACAAGATCGCCAAATAATTTATCCTCAGGTTTCGGAGGCTTGCTGGGTGGAACGTAAGATGGTGTTGAAACCGGGTATGAAGAATTTCTCAATCCATTGTTATCTCTGAGAGACAGCCCATGCATTCGCTGGTCAAGATACTGCACTCCATGTTGCTGACCTTGACCATATCCATAAGCTGCCATTTGGTTGCCATACATTTGTTGAGGATACATAGAAGACATCTGCTGGGGATACATAGAAGACATTTGTTGAGGATACATGGACGGCATCTGACCAGCTAGCATCTGCTGTGGAAGCATTCCCATATACGGTGCTCCCTGGAATTGTTGGGGATGCATACCAAACATATGGTTGCCCTGAACAGCATGGTTATTGATTCCTGGCAACTGACCACCTGTAATTGGCTGAATATACATACCCACACCCACCACTTGGTCATTTCCTATTGGTTGAAGTCCCTGAGGCTGAGAATGTGTAACAACTACTTGAGTGGTAAGTTGCATTGGCGGAGTGTACTGAGCACCTGAAGTGGGGCTAGACACTGGGTTGTAGTCTGCCGGCTGTGCTTCCCAAGGAGGTGGGGGTAGTGATCCACTGCTCTGAGAACCTTCATTCAAAAAATGCAACCTTCATAAAATTTCATGTAGAAGTGGTAAGAGCATGGATCCTATAAAATTTAAATCTTCACCATTCATGCACTACAGCCACTAACAGTACAGAAAACCAACAGTTAATTATTATGGAAGAAAACAAGGGTGCAAGAGTTTTGTAAACTGCCCATGTCCGGTGAATACTTCCAGAAACAGAGAAAGGGCATGGTGTAACTGGTTATATCTACCCTAAGGTAGAATTGTGCTAACACTAAAATCTTTTGCTCAAAGCAAAAATCTACTATGAAGTGGAAGCATACCATAAACTGGTGACTGAGGCTGCTGCTGCTGGGTCAGCTGACCATTCCAGGCAGGACCATAGCCTTGTGCATATGACTGCTCATACCGAGGAGATCCCATATTTGGAGCAGTTCCATTTGAATAAAATCCAGCTTCTTGAGTTTGAAAGTTCTGCTGCTGAAATTGTGGATTCAAAGCATTGGGTTGTCCAGAGAAACTGGGTGACTGGTGGTTGACAGAATTTGAAGTGTTATTGCTATCAGAGAACATGTCAAACAGAACAAGAGCATTGTTCTGCGCCGAAGGAGGGGTTGCTTGTGTGCTTTGCAACTCTGCTACAGGAACAAGGGCCAGCAAATTGTCTGCCTTAGGTGAACTGTAGTCATCACCACTCAGCAGGTCTATTTTGGGATTGAGTGCTGGTGTAGGAGTAGGGCCATTAGTTGCAGGAGGTGCAGGAAGCAGTAACTGATTCAGTGGCTGAGATCCTGCATCAGTGCTTGATGTTGCTCTGCAGAGAAATCCTGTTGCTTAAAGTTCCAACTAACAGACCAATCTGACCAAGGGCTCAAAAGATTCATAATTCAATGAATTTCAATTTTAATTTTAACTATGAACCTTCAATTCGATCCCTAATCCCAAGTAGAGAAAGATTAACCAAAATTTAATTTAGGCAGTAGAATTGTTCAAAGTTGCAAATTAGCCTTAATCACCACACCATTCAGAAGCGACTTAAGTGGGAAAAGTACAGCAATTTGATTGGACAGAAACCATTCCTCAAAAACAAAGCTATGAAATATTTAATGATATTTACAACCATGACACCTAATAACTGCACTAAAATAAAAGTGTAGAACAGCATGAATGTCTATGCTGGCTAAAATGCTGCAAAGAAAAAAACTATCATCTTTTATTTATTTATTTAGCAATTTTAGCTCAGGGAATAACTACCAAATTAAATAAACGTATGTAATTACCTTCCATTAGACTTTTTACTGTTATCTCCAGTATCAACTAAGGGAGCATCAACATTTACAATTGCTTGTGCTGCAGTAGGTTCAGACTTAGGTTTCTCAGTTTTAACAGAAGTTCCAGAAGCTATAGATTCATGCTTTGCAAGTACACGCTGCAAGTCATCATTCAATGTCAAACCATGACATAGCAGTGACTCATCCCTGCATGAGAAAGAGGTACAACAGTGATATATCTTTTGAATTGAAATATATTATATTATGAATTCCATTAGCATTCTGCAAAGATGCAAAGGATAACTACAAAAGAAATTCTTGTCCAAGACTCCAACTTAGGCTTAGTTTGACAATGCTGATCTGTAGTTGCAGCTGTAGATTTTTTGGTCCTTTAATACCCTAAAAAATTATAAAATATATTTTATATATTTAATAGTTATTTTAATTAATATTTTATATATTTTTAAAATAATAAAAAGACATAAAAACCAAAAGGTAAAGCACCAAGAAATGTTATCAAATGAAACCTTAGTCATCAAAGTCCAGTTTAACAAAATTGGATGAAATCCTGTGAAAGATATCTGTACAAGCCAATACAATGCAAATGTATCCTACACAACTTGACCTGGCACATATCAATCTATCATCAACTCAAAAAAAATGAAAAGGCCACTTTGTCCCAAAATGTACAAGAATTTTATTATAAAAAAAAAAAAAACCCCCCACAAGAATACAGACAGCATGAACAAACAAATCCCACATTGCTGACACCAGGAAATATATCTGAAGCAAGTAACCAGAAAATGAGAGTCCTTACGAAGTCGAATTGACAAGGTGTACCACTCTTTGTTTATATGTACGGCACTGCTCCACTAAGTCAACAATAACTTCCTGCCTAAGTCCCTGTCATTTAATAAGAAAACGTGAGATTATCAACATGCAAAAAGAAAATAAGCTTTAAAAGTTAGAATGCTTAATGAATATGTTGATAGAAAAGGATTTGCATATGAAATGTTACATAACCACCCAAGAACCCCAACTAATTCAAGCATTACCAAATAAAATAAGATCATAAGATCAGCAGGCACTTCAACCCCCCTCCCCCCTCCTTTTTCCAAGAAGAAAAGAAGAAAAAGAAACATATACAACTTCTTTTTGTACAAATAGATAACCACTTCAATAGAAGATCATAAGATCAGCAGGCACTACAATCCTTCCCTCCCTTTTCCAACAAAAAAACAAAGAAGAAAAAGAAGGAAATACATACACATTTTTTCCACAATTAGAAAACCCCTTTTTCTACATTTAAAATTGTGATAGTGTACCTCTTTATTGCTAGGATCCAATGCATTAAGCATTTCGGCGAGGACATCCATAATGCCTCTGGCATTCTGAATTTCTGTCAAGCTAGCAAAAAAAATTCCAATCAAAATTATAGCTGCATAATCAGCAAGCAGAATATAGCACTAAGTACTGTTAATAATGTATCGTGTCCATAACCAGATAAATTGTTGGCACTAAACAAACTACAACGCACAAGCCAATCCAGTCAACAAAAAATCTCAACTGCTCTATTTCCAAGGAAAATATGTGGAACATTTGAGTGACAAAAACCAAAGCCATTCCATATCCCACAAGCTCGACAAATATCAGCACATCTCAATTCAATTTTTCAGTTAAATTTTCATTTTAAGTCCTGAGTAACCTTGAGTGAGAACTTATAACCAGTAGTACGGAGCAAATAAGTACCTCAAGGTTGGGAACTCAGCCTCTGCAGAAGATTCACCTATCTCCTGCCGATTATCAGGATTGCGAACATTTGGGGGATAAGAGCTTAAAGGGTGTGTTTGCGGAGGTGTGAACACAGGTGCAGAGCTCTCAGATCTCTGTGGGAAAACTGCCCCTGCTCGCTGGAACAATGAAGTAACCCAGTTTAGGGAAGCAAAGATGCAAAAAACCTACATTATGTTCATAACCAGCACATAAAAAATAGTCTTCCAAACAAATGACCAAGTCATGCATAAGTAAGTCTGCCCAGAAAATCAGTATGCCTCATCAGTTTTAATAGAAGAATCCTCTGCAGACATACCAACAACTCCTGGTATGCGGTATAATATTGTGGATATCTTGCCCTTGGTCCCCCAAAAGCTTCTTGCCAAGTGTCTATTAGAATTAATATCTTCTCTTTGACATGAAAGTCGGGCTACAATTGAGAATTATAAAAACAGTGAATAAGTTACCATAAAATGGTAAGTATGTAGCAAAAGGAGGAGCTAAATAACAAAGAAAGATATTTACCTTTTTCTTGACTATTCTCACCATCTCGTGAAGAATATCTCTCTCTGCTACATGCATATGGACAATGTCCCCACAGTTCTTTACAATAGTCTCTAATAGCTAAAATGTAGGAAGAGACCAAAATATTAAAGAAGTTTAGTCCATTTGTGAGAAATGTTGGCCACAAAAACAATGAAGTGATAATTATGTTTAAAGATTAAGGGACATAAACTTTCAAGAAATGTCACGGCCAGGATATTCATTTCAGAACTCAGAAGCATAATTTAACCACACAAAAATTTGAAAAATGAATAAAAGAATATTTTATTAACAACAAGAATTGACCTCAGGTAGTCATATCACACATAATCCATCTAGAAATATTTCCATTGAGTCACATGAAATCCTATTTTCACCTTTCTAAGTATCAAAAATTTCAAGTTACAATGACCTTATGCCCCTAAACCGAGGGAACAATAAAAGACAGCTGGCAGGCACAAGCTACACTAGTCAAGATCCCAGAACAAACCTTTACTCTGTAATTGGTATATTTTCTTTCTACCACTCCTTAATGTCCTAATTTAAATGAAATGTGAAAATAATGTGCAAAGCAGTTAAATATGGATATACATATGAACAATTCAGAATGTCTACTAATGTGTAATACAAGATAATCAAGTCACAAGGAGCTTACTGTCAGTGCAAGTAGCTGAACTTTGGAATTCTTACTTCCAAGCCGCTTTTTTATGCCTTTAACGACATCCTTTGCTTGCCTGATAAATAATAATCAAACTTCAAACACCATATTTAAGAAGAATCTAAAAGTTTAAAAGTTCGAATGTCAGTTAAAAGGCAAATCCAGCCTCCCCTTCCTCCTGAAGGAGACATATACGAAATCTAAAGATATACAAGTTTTGACCTGAAACTGCTTAACATACAGAGAAAATCGTTCCTTCAATAATAGATTTCTTGTTGCATAATCAATAAATTAAACGGAAAGGAAATCAAAGATAAAGCAAGAAGAAACACTCTAATCTGACATTAAAGATGGCATTCTATCCTCAAGGAATCGAGCAGGAGATCATAAACGTCGACTCAAAAAGGGAAGGAAGATTGAAATTCTAGTGCGACGAGTACCCGGGGTCGTGATTGAGCATGTCGCAGATCTCGATGTTCATGGCCCAATCAGGACCGATCAACATGTCGCTCGTGGCTCTCTCCACCATAGAGTTCACCATCTTCGCCCACGCAAAGAGATTCAACCGCTGAGATCAATCAAGATTCCGGCGAACGCACACCTCTTCGGCGAGATCGCGGTGAATTCCGGTCACCACACACCGAATATTCCGACGACTTTCCCTCGAATCAAACAAATCGAACCGTTGTTAATCGAAACGCTTTCTCTATCTCCGTTCTCTGCCCCCCTAACGTCTCACCACCACTTCCTATCTGAGATCAAACCAAATAGTTTTTCTACTCCCCAACTTTTCCGTTGAGAGGAGATTTTATTTTTGCTTTTTGTATTCTCTTTTTTTCTCGATTTATTTGGTAAGGTAATTATTAATATTAATATAAAAGAAAAAAGAGAGAAACCAATGAGAAGATGCCGCGTGTTGGTCAGCGAGGCACACACACCTGCCCTATTATCGTACTCTTTCTGATACGGTCAGTTTTGGCGGACCAATTTTGGATCGAACGGTTTTTATCGTTTGTTACGCTCGGTGTTCCGCGCCCGTGATCAGACGAAAACGGTGCCGTTTTAAAGAACTCTGGAGAAAAATTTTTAGTTACCTAATGAGAATAATAGGGCCCACGTTTTCTTATCAAACAAATTTTGTTAAAATTATTAATTTTAAATGTAATTTTATAATTTTATAATTTTTAGACAATTAATTATAATATTTTAAAATATTTATTTATAAATTAATATAATATATTAAATAATACACTTTTTATTTATTTTTAATAATTTTATTTTAATTTATAATTTCTTAAACGTAAATTTTACATAAAATTTTAATAATTTACATAAATAATAATTAAAATTTTTTTGTTATATAAAATTTTTATAAAGTATTTTAATTTGATTGAAAAATTATTTTAATTATTATTTATATAATATATTAAATTTTTATTTAAAATTTTTATTTAAAAATTAAATTAAATTTATTAAAAATAAATAAACAATAATTATTATTTTACCAAATATAAATTTTTTTAATTTAAAAATAAAAAATTTTAATAACTTTAAGATCCTTTACAAATTTAAAGGTATGCATGATCACACTAGATAATAATTGGATAGCTCACCGTCCAAAAAGATAATAACTGCAAGGGACCTCGAGACTCTGAACTATTCATAATAGGTTTGTCTGTCTGGATTCTGTAAGGCCCTGTAGGAGTCAGCCGAAATATCATTTGGATTTTATGTAAATTATAAGAAAAATAAGAAATACTCGTTCTTTGGAAAATAGGTGATAATAATAATACGTGTTTTATATTCATCCTTTAATTTAGTTTAAATTATTAATTTAAAAGTTCGTTAATTTATTTTTGATTTATCTAGTAAGTTCCTTAATTTTTTTTCTTATTTTTATAATTTAACCTAAAAAATATACTTTTTTTTACTAAACATTAGCAGCAATAAGAAGAAAAATATTTTTTTTTGAATAATAAAAATTTTTTTTGGGGAAAAGATACCTGATATTAGAACTCAGATCTTAACAATCCTAAGTACATCCTATAAGCAGGGTCAGTAGGCCATCAAGTGTTGGACAAAAGAAAAATAATTTATTGATAATATATAATTAGGAGATTTTTATTTAATTTTAATAGATTTAATTTTTAATTTAAGGGTTTAAATTTATTTATCTATTTTTTAAGATATTATTTACAATATATTTATATTAAGAGAAATAGATGAGAGGTGAATTGTATTTTTCCATTCTTTTCCTTTCATTCTCCTCATTTGGATAAGATATTTAAATAACTTAAAAGAAAAAATAAAATAAAGAAAAAAAATTCCCCCCTCAAAATTTTTAATAACCAAATAGAGAATTTTTATTTCTTCCCCTTAATTCCCCCTTAACCCAAATGTACTAATGTACTTATTCTTATTTTAACTTTATTTTGACATTTAGTAAGTATGTAAGAAGGTAATTAATTAAAGATAAATAAGAAATTTTATCATATACTTAATTAATACATCCTTATCTTATTAGAAAAAAAAAATTAGCTCTATTAAAATTAAATAAAGAGAATAACAAATGAGAATTAGCATGGTAAGTGTGGTTATTATCACACCCTAAATAATTAATACCATACATTTTTAGTGTAATACCTTATTATACTCTTACATTATATTTTTTTCTCAAAATTCTATATTTTTGACTTCTTAATAAATTAAAGAATATAACAATTAATTAAAATAAAAATGTATGACAATAACATTACCCTAATATGATTTTTATAATTGATGTCACATGTATTATTTGATGCCATGTGTCTATGGTTGAATTTCGATTGAATTTTTGTTATCAAAAAGTTAAAATTACAAGAAAGAAATAGAAATATTAATACCCTAATCTGTAAACCATGTAAAAAATCTAGCTATTTATGAGAATATAATAAAAGTGTTTTATTTATTTTACATTATGAGGATGGGAGATATTCAATCATTGCTTAAAATTAGCATGAATCTTGCTTGAATAATAATGATTTTTTTATGTGATATTGAATGCTGAGAAAGATAAAAACTCTATATAAAATGGCATGAGGCAGGTTTTTATTTCACCTTTAATAGACATTATTTTCCCAAAGTATAAATTGCATTAAATAAAACTAAAGTACAAAATAAATCTTAGATAAAATAACCAATTGAAATTAATGATTACTGATTTCATTTAATTTAATGATTAAAAGTATTAAAATTATTAATAATAACAATGATCAACTATAAAATATGACAAATCCACTAACTACCACTTTCAAATTATTATACCAAACATCTTATTGTAAAAAAATCCTTCCCTCCTCTTTGTTCCCCTCAAACAAATATACCCATATGGTATAAGGTATCTCTATACAAATGGCACGAAGCATTAACTATGAGATTTTTATTTCACCCTTTATATACTTTTTTTTTTTTGTTCATTAAATGCAACAATATTTGGTGAAGTTTGCTAGACGATGACAATCCATTTTTTGCCAATTGCCACCTTCACAATGTAAGACAGAAGACAGTAAAAATGAGAAGAAGAAGAAGAAGAAGAAGTTTTTTTTTTGTTCATTAAACGCAACAATATTTGGTGAAGTTTGCTAGACAATGACAATCCATTTTTTGACAATTGCCACCTTCACAATGTAAGACAGAAGACAGTAAAAATGAGGAGCAGAAGACAGTAAAAATGAGGAGAAGAAGGACAGAAGACAGTAAAAATGAGGAGAAGAAGGAGAAGAAGAAGAAGAAGAAGAAGAAGAAGAAGAAGATCCATTTTTTGACAATTGCCACCTTCACAATGTAAGACAGAAGACAGTAAAAGTGAGGAGAAGAAGAAGAAGAAGAAGAAGAAGAAGTTTGCTAGACAATGACAATCCATTTTTTGACAATTGCCACCTTCACAATGTAAGACAGAAGACAGTAAAAATGAGGAGAAGAAGGACAGAAGACAGTAAAAATGAGAAGAAGAAGAAGAAGAAGAAGAAGAAGAAGAAGAATAGTAACAATTCATCAAACAATTCATGGAACAAATTTAAGTTGATGTTCCAAAAAAGAATAGTAACAATTCATGGAACAATTCATGGAACAAATTTAAGTTGATGTTCCAAAAACAGTCGGTCGCTTTTTTTTGTAAGTCGGCCTCTTTTTTTTGTAAGAATTGATGATCGATAATGCTGAAGAAATTAATAGATATATTGATTTAGAACTTCTCAAAATTTTTCCTCTTTTTTTTAGTGTGTCATTATTTATTGCCAAAGAAGTGACGAAAGAGAATCTGAACACAGAAAACATTCAAGTGGAATCAACGAAAAGAAAAGAAAAGAAAATATTGAGTAACGAATTTGATATAATCTAACCCACTAAATTATTCCCTGCCAATACCAGTTTTTAAAGGTGTTGGAATATTTTTATGAACATTGAAAAGGTTGAGAATAAAACTAATGTCTATCACTTTTTGCAAGCATACCCAAGGCTGACTAGATTCTTCACTTTGCCCTTTTTTTTTCTTTTTTTCTTTTTTCTAAAATTAAATTTTAATAAAACTTTTTAAGGTTCTGGCAATCACGATCAAATCATTGTTTGGCATCTTATTGTTTATTGTTTTTCTCATGTCTATGCATTGTACTTCTGTTCTGTTTCCAATGTTGTCCTGGAAAAGGAAAATGGAGAAAGAAAAGTTCTTTCTGTGCAATAAAATGCTGCAAAAACTCTAGTGGGATTGTTGTCTAATAAAGTTGTGGGCAGAAGGAAAACTTTTAAATTAAGATTGCATCTTGCACGTAGCTAGCTACCACATTTCTATGCTATAAAAAAGAATCAGAAAATTCCAGTGGAAATGCAAGTTGTTTATTTTGGGTTGATGTTCTAGTTTACAGGCAGCGACCTTTGTATTACATTGCCAAGGTAACAAACAAGAAGGAAGGAGGTGAGTACATTATGCTTTTAGAAAATCAATTGAGCTTGGTCAATAAGGAACAGGAACTCGAACTGAAGGTGGACCAGATTTCATGTCCTCCATTATAAAATTTAAGAGAGACTTAGCCACCGGACCTTCTTTACCTACGGGAAAACAGTGTAGCAAGTTATCAGTACTCCAATCCATATAATAAACATCAGAAATATGAAAATCAGGACGTTCTAGCTCTCAAATGTCTATCACAGCCATTGAGTAGATCCTACCCCTGAGACCCACTCAACGGATAGCTATGATAGACGTCTTGAGCATCAAGACGTCCTGATTTTCCGGGGGCTCAATAAACATTGGCTTTTTACATAAAGAATATAGGGTAGAAAGAAGTATGAAGAAATCCAGCATTGTTATCGCATGTGAAGCACTTAATTCTTAGGTTACAAGTCATGTAAGTCAAAGTTCAATCAAAGAGCTGCAATATTGATAAGCTGCTCTCCTTGATACCACCTCAATGTAGAAGTTGAATGCTTTAAATATGTAATTCAAAATTGCATTGTGTAAACAAAGAAAATCATACCATCACCAATGACCTGATCATCCCACTGCAATACAGGGCGAACAAGAATTCCACTTCCGATAAGCATCATCTCATCTGCCTTTTTCCCTTCCTCAACAGTCACATTAGCCACCCTTATTCTGCTTAGCTTACCCTCCGTAACCAGCCCCTCTGCCAGGGTCAAAACTCTTTTAGCTGTGCAACCACTCAAAATTCTCTCAAAGTCAGGCATCAAAAGCTCCTTTTCTTTGGTAACAAAAGCTACATTCATGTTAGGCCCTTCAGCAACAAATCCATCATTGTCCAGCCATATTGCTGCAAATGCACCTTTTTCTTCAGCCTCCATTTTTGAAAGTACATTTGGAAGGTAATTTACACTCTTTGTAGTGGCAAATTGGGGATGTTTTATAGGAACTGAGGAAGTTACTACTTTGATGCCTTTTGAATCAAATGGAGAAAGATCTTGGATCACAACAGCATAAAGAGCTGGTTGATGGCAACCAGAAGGAGATAGTTGGAAAT